AATAATAATAAATAACGAGAATAAAAGTTGAATCTTGGAAGAGAGAAAATAATTGTAATTATAACTGTCTTTTCTTTTTAAGAGGTTAACGTTGAGGTCGACGGAGATGTTATGAATCTTTGTTAATTAATGTTGACGTTGTCCGAAACGAATGTGATGTGGTTAAACATTTATATTCATTTTTTTGTATAGAAGAATTTTAATGGGTTCAAGAGAAACTTTTTTTCTAATATAAACAATTTTAAACAATTCGAGTTTCGAGTTTCTAAAATATGCCGTTTATTAACGGTATGAAAGAAAATATTCGATTTTAAAACGAATTGGGAAAAATTATGAGCTATTAAAATTTTATACTGTTGGTCACAGCTGCGTTTAATGCTGAAAATTCCTTACAAACTACTGGATTTCTTTAACTTTATACGTTTTCTTGTACTAACCAACAACTAGCAATGAGAATTCCTCGTTGGTTTCTGATAATAATAATATTTAGACGCAACTTGATGATGCCTTATCTTTTATATTGGTTTTAAAATTTTTAAATTCCAACTGGTAAAATCAAATAAACACACACCATTAAGATTAATTTGGTATTAAATGTTTAAATTAAACGTTGCAAAATAATTATTGCTGTTTCATGCGGATCGTAAATTAAATTGAAATTACTCCGCCCGTTTACCGAAGCAGTATAATTATCGGACATCGAAAAGCTTCTGAAGAAGTTAAGTAGATATTAATTAGCTCGATTCTCCGCGCACTCTACCTTTCAATTTTGTCCCATCATCGTTATCAATTGCACTTTCAAGTCACGAATGAAACGAGGACATGATTCATTAAATCTTTTGCAATAACATCAACTAATATTTATAGCTTAAAGGGAAAATTAATTAAATAAATGTTGAATAAACAAGTAGAAATAAAAAAATATATAGAGATTGATATTATGATTCGGAGTTTGAGATTAACTTAGAAAGAGAGGTTAGAACGAGACTTTAAGGAATACCTTTCAAGACTGATTCCTGAAACATATCGGTGAAAGGTTTACTCTTGGAGGGCAATTGATTATAACAAAAGGTCGTGAACTGAAAGCAGCAGTTAAACAACTTTGCTGGACTTCTTTACTGACAGAAAAAATTCAGTAATCTTCGTAGAAGTAACAGAAGCATTCGAATCCTAATAACTCTGTCGTGATTTGGACTCTAAAGTTGCAGTGTCAATCACGCAACTTCAACGACTATAGCCACGAGGTTAAAGAAACGCGACTTTGTGCCAGTTACTCATTTCCATTGAATGATAGAAATTGCTACATTATTGGCAATTTCGTTTCATTAGGTGCCAATAAGCGATTTTGGCGAGGTCACAGAAGTGTCTGCAGCAACGCTGGCGATGTGGCCGCAAAAATAGCAATCTAGTTACCAGAACCGCTGAGAAAGGTTGAAAAAAGCACAACTTTCTTATGAAAATTAATGGCCCGTAATTAAGTGAGCTCGTAGAACTGTACCCTTGCTTCTACATATAATCCAAAGAATAAGGATTATAAAGATCAAATCAGACCAGACCAAGATCAGAAGTTGGATTTTGGTTAAATGGGCCGGATATTAGTTCTGACGAAGACGATATCATTACATGTCCAAATTCAAGAATAAACCTCATTGGAGGTAAACTCATCACCAGAAGATGAACGTATGCCTGGAGTAAATGAAAAGGCCCATAAACGACCAGGAAGTACGTCTCAATCAACATTTTTGGCATTATTGAGCGTGTCCTAACTTCTCTTCTGGGCTGATTGGGTTTGTAACTCATTCACACGATTGTTTTTGCAGGTCATTTTCAATCAGACCTTATGCAAAATTGAGCTGATTGATGTTAATGCGAAAAAATATCGTAGCTTGTTTACTTCGTAGCTTATTCCTTCAGGAAATGAAATTTATAGCGAATTTTGAAAATTATCGATGAAAATTGCAACATCGAAAATTTTATCAAAACTTCAAATATTGTTTTCTCAAAAACTAAAAGTTATTTTTCAAAACGTGTTGGTTCATTGGAAAGAGGACACTTTTATTAACACTTTGGGAAATTTTCATACTCATATTACAAGAACTGGATTTTATACGAATTTTTAAAACGTAATCGACGAAAATTGCAAAATTTGAAAAAATTGTCGATCATCCAAAATATGTGTAATATTATGATTAAATGGTTTTATAAATGGAGACTTAATCCAAACCCAACTAAATTTCAATTATTTATTCCACATCACAGAATAGTGGAAACGTCTCCAATTATTAAGATGGATACGGTTAACATAAAACCATTACAGAACATTAACTACCTAGGAATGAACATCGATTCCAAATTAAACATGAGTAGACACTACAGTAAAGTACAGGCGGAAATGTCTAAACGGGCGAAATATTTTAGATCTCTAAGTTATAAAGACAAGGGTATAAACACGAAGACTGCGATGCAAATATATAAGAGCATATGTAGACCATTGATTGAATATGGTAATATTGTATTAATGTATCCATCCAGAAAAACGAGAGACATAATTGACAAAGCGGAAAGAAAATACTTGATTATATTACTTGATTATATACTGGATTATCTCTAAGATTAGACACCTAAACAACCCATTGCACAATGTAAGAATGAGACCTTATACGAAATGACTGGTATTGAATGTATAAGAATAGACAGACTACGGAAGAAATTTTTAGACAAAAAAAAACAATTATGGAAAAATACATAAATTATGTTTAAAGAGACAAGCTGCACAGATGGAAGTTGATCAGAGGAAGACAATATTCGAACTTTTTTCATAAATACTTATCTGATAATTAATAATAATATTGTTAAATTCTTTGTTGTAATTATAGCCAGCGGAAAGACCATTAGGTCGATAGCTGTAATAACGATTTATTTCTCTCTGTTAAATAAATTAACAACATTAATTTTTATTAATTAAGACATTAATTGTTTTAGAAAAAAAGTTGATACGAGGATGAACTTAAAACATCATCACGTCAATATTTGTGAAAACAAAAAAAATGATTTTCAACACATTAAATATTAATTAAATTTGCTTCAANAATTAATTTTATAGCGAATTTTGAAAATTATCGATGAAAATTGCAACATCGAAAATTTTATCAAAACTTCAAGTATTGTTTTCTCAAAAAGTAAAAGTTATTTTTCAAAATGGGTTGGTTCATTGGAAAGAGGACACTTTTATTAACACTTTGGGAAATTTTCATACTCATATTACAAGAACCGGATTTTATACGAATTTTTAAAACTTAATCGGCGAAAATTGCAAAATTCGAAAAAATTGTCGATGATTTCAAAAATTTATTTCTCAGGAACTGAAGGTGATTTTTCAAAACGCCTTGTTGTATTAAAGAGAGGATACTTTAATTAATAATTGACGATATTTCCACAAGGATCCTTCAAGAAATGAATTTTATAGCGAATTTTGAAAATTATCGATGAAAATTGCAACATCGAAAATTTTATCAAAACTGCAAATATTGTTTTCTCAAAAACTAAAAATTATTTTTCAAAATGGGTTGTTTCATTGAAAAGAGGACACTCTTATTAACACTTTGGAAAATTTTCATACTCATATTCTAAGAAGTGAATTTTATACGAATTTTTAAAACTTAATCGGCGAAAATTGCCTAATTCAAAAATATTGTCTATCATTTCAAAAATTTATTTCTCAAAAACTAAAAGCGATTTTTCAAAACGGCTTTTTGCATTAAAAAGAGGATACTTTAATTAATAATCGAAAGTGATAATAGCGACAGTTCTGTTAGTAATGAATGTGATGATGAATTAGAAGCGAAGAGAAGAAATCTAGATGAAACTGGAACAAGAGATTATGTATCGTATTGGGATTGTTACAATAAGGTTGCTAATGACAAACCTGATATAAATAAAGTTGTATTCAATAAAAAAAAGTCCTATTGGGGTTGAACTTGATTATTATCTGCAGTGTCCAACGCCTAAAAGAGATACTGATTCCTGTAAATGGTGGAGTACTAAGTAATAGATTTTTAATATTGGGTCAAAGCCGGATATTTGATGATTACTGGATAGTTGCCGGAAGAATCTATAAAATTTACATATTTACTGCTACAAATTAGATTAGGAACCTGTATGTAATCTGCGAGTTACATACATATTCCCAATAATTTAATGAACCATGAAGTGTTGAATATGAAAGTTCAGAAATTACTAAAACGGGTGTTTATGAAAGAATCAATTCAAATTCAAACGGTTTTATAAATTAACATAGTTACATAGATAGTGATAATCATATAACAAGGTTATGGACGAATTAATATATATAATACGTAAAATTTATGATACCTGGGCAAGGTGAAAATGTACCAAATATATATTCAAATTTATCCAACATTTTTCAATTAAATGTCGATTATTTATGACAGTGGTATAATTCACAAGACCCAAGTTTGTAAAAACCCGTTTTATTAGTTTTCGTAGGATTACCACCAGAATACTAATAAAATAACCAAAGTAAAAGGAGAACACATCGAAATCGAAAACATAATCTAAGCTTCATCTGTTAAATTATTGTATGTCAGCGCATATGAGACTATCTCAGCTGTTTTATAGGTCAAACGTCGCATTAGCTATGTAGGTAACCTCGCGTTAATGCCAATACATACAAAAATATCTTTGTTAAAACCTCCAATGTCTTGGTTTAAGATACTTTAGGTTAGATACGTGGAATACCTGCGTTGCATTTCAAGTTAGAATTACATCACTTTCATCTCAGATAAACAGAAGGAGGCAAACTTAAGCCAAGCCACACAAACTTAGAACGCTGACACTCTATTATAAGAAGTGACACAAATCTTGGTGTTTATAATAAGATGAAACTTAGCTTTATAATGAATCACTATGTTCCTATTTATTTCATAAAATATGAATTTAGTAAAAAAATTAATTAGGAAAATTAAAATAAAACATAAAAATCAGGATATCTTTTATATTTTATTAACTAATTGCATTAATCTAAAATGGTTGTTGTTGGTTTTCGTGTCTCTTTGGCAGTGTGTCACAAAAAATATGGTAAGACAGGAAACTACGTTACGATTACACTCAAAAATTTAAATTAAAAAAAATTATATATGTATGATATAGTTTAAATAGACTTTTTGTCTACTTGAAAATTTTGATTCTACTACAAATTTTTCTTTTTTTTAATGATTTACCACACTCACAAATACAACAAACAGTCTTTCTTCGAACTTAATTCTTCTAAAATCATGATGAATTAATTTTTAATTTAACTACCTATTCTTGTTTAAATCCGTTCGTTTGTGGTTGTTGTTCGAATTCTTTCCGATTCTGCAATTGCCAATAAACAACCAATCGGCCGCTCAACATGAACAAAAACACCAAAGCTGGAGCGGTCCTTTCCAATTTGTCTTCTACCATGTAATGCGAATACACAGCCATCAATGTTAATAGAAGTAGACAGATGTTTGCCCAATTTTTCACTTTATCTATAATTATAAAAAAGTGTTACAATTAAAAAAAGAAACATTTCGGTGTTAAGACTTAAAGTTCAATGTAAGCAGTTAACGATCTTCACCAATACAGAACATTTTTAAATAAACACGCGTTCTTTCAATTTCAACACTTTCAAAATTTTGTGTAAATATTTTTCTTAAATACCCTTAAGAAAAAATAATTAATGTCTTCGCAGCGAGAAAAAAAAACGCGAACGTTAAAGAGAGCCTTAACTGTATCAATCGTCACAAAAGGTTTTTTTTGCAATACAAATTATATGTCGTAAACGGTAGAGTTTTCGTAATTCACAAGCTTCGCAGGCAGAAATAGCTCGAGCGCCTTAGAAATAGTTAAGATAGAGGTTACGGCCGTGAATCTATAACGATCCAAAACGAGCATCACACCGTTTTAGAGGGGAGCCTGTGACCCAAAAATACATTAATACATTAAAATGGCCAAGGAACTATATTTTTGGGGAAAATAAAACAAAAATTTAGTTTATTAATAAGATTTTTTTGATATATCACATCATAAACGATATAAACATCTAAGATATTATGAATTTTGAGTTGGATTTGTTGAATTTGAAAGCACTTACAAGGAAGTTATTGAAACATTTTAATCTATACTCAATTCATCAAATTATATCACATCTAGTTTTTTATGTAACAGTGTTTATGTTTGAATTAACTGACTTTGTAATGTAATTATAGAAAATTCTAATTACTTTCAGGTGGAAAATTTCCTCAAAAACTGTTTGCTAAATTACTCAAAGATGAACTCATCGATATTATTGTTTATTTCACCAACGTACGCAACATAACATCATCTTGGATTAAAGCCATATGAAATGAAAAGTATTTTTGAGTATTCTTTTATTGAACGGTTTATTATGTTTTTCGAGTAAATTTGTGCTGGATAAATCAACCAGATTTTAACGTTTAAATTTTAAAACAGTTTCTTCTAAGATGTATATGAATCTATCAAAATGAACATTTATTGACAAGAATAATAAGCTTGTAATGATAATTTTGCAAAAGTATCATGATTCCAAATTGAATCCTATTCCAGTAAAATGTTTATTCAAATTCCGTTTGGAGCCCTTTTTTATCAAACGATGTATGGTGGTACTTCAACTTTGGTTTTATCTGATATTGGTTTCACCATTGCAACTGTTTCTCCAAACAGATTCCCAAGAATATCTGAGGAGATCAAAAAAGGAACATCTTTCTTCATCCTTCTATATCTTGCATTCCCGCTCCCTCTCTGGATCGTTAAGTCTGTTTTCTGGTAAGATTTAGCTCTGAAATATCTCCTGAACAGTTTCTTGCCATCTGTCTCTCCATCTCTTTGGTGGTTTAGTGTATAGGCATTTGGCAGTCTATTGTATTAAAATCCCATTGCCCTCCCCATTATCCCATAAGCCTTCCTGGGATTGTCTTCAGATCTTCATACCTGCTACTCATAATCTTTTATTTCTATTCTCTTAGTTTTGTTAGTGGCTTGCGTATTTCAATGTCGTAACTCTTTATTGGGGGAAAGTCTTGCACTTTACTATCCATTCACATATATTTATTCGCCCAAACAATATTTCGCAGGCAACCTAAAATTGTGTACGCTTTGTTGACCTGACTTCTTATGTTCACAGCTTGAGACGTGCACATCCAAGTAGGAAAATTCTATGACTTGTTCGATACGAGTGTTGTTAACTACCAGCTTACATATTGTTGGCTTCCTTGCTACCACAATACATTTAGTCTTTGAAGTAGAGACAGACATGTTCAAAACTTCGCTTGCTTAATAGAACCTGTGTAGTTGTTTTCATAGATCATTCTCTAAGCTGGCGAATAAGCTTCATTTAACGTTAACGTTGTTTCTCTCAACTTTCTTTCTTGCAGATTAATATCTCTAATTCCTATTATCATCTTATCTGTTATTAGTGATTCCTCTTGTTGTTCAAATTCACAATCCTTTGCTAAGTTTTTTAGATCGGATAAGAATTTTTCAAATGATTCTCCATCCTCCTGTTTTCTATTAAAAAATTTGAATGTATTGAACACAAATTTTTTCTTGGGTTAGAATACTGTTTGAACAATTTCCAATTCTCACTTACATTTTCTGTAAAGTTCATTCCTCACGGAGGTTTAAAGCAATCCATTTAGCAACCTTATCACTTTTTCTTTTGCGTGATTACACTTGACACCATGTCATGTATTAGTCTTTTAACTAATAAAACACTATTATTGCAGCTTCGTCAGCATATTATGCAGATTTTCTTTAGGCACAGAATTTTTTTAAACATCTTGGGTCCGCTTTTCTGTTAGTTCTATTCCTCCATATTTGAGTAATTCATTAGGTATGTTGTCGGATCCGGTAGATTTCCTTTCGCTTTTCTTTGACTTCTTCAATCTGTAGTATGTAATAGTTAATAGTAGTTTTTGTGGTTATAGGTTGGCTAAAGTGTGTTGCCTCTTCGGTAGAGAATAGTTGTTTGAAATATTTTTAACAACCTTTCTATGACACCACATTTGTCTGTACTACATACTCGTTGAGTCAATTCCTCTTTTGCTATAGAGCATTGGCGTACGACAGGTGGTGATAGAAGTTTTAGTGGAGGAATTTCATTGTTGAATTTTGGAGATTTCTTCGTTGAGCTTTTCGGATTTGTTCTATACCACTTCTTTTACGACCGATTGTTATTGGCGTTATCGGATTTTGTTCTGGCTTTCCGGGTTCCGGTTTATTACGCACGAGCAGCCGTTTAACAGCTTTTTACAAGGCTTTTTGTTGTCGATTCCTGTGATTTATGATCGATTCGTGAATCGGAGCCCGAACCTATCCAACAGGCTTCTGTTGTGTCTTTTGTAATTTTAGTTGATTTTAACCGCCACACGTTCTAATAAGATCTTGCTTAGGACTAGGTTATGATCCGTTCCTATGTTGGTGAAAGTGATGTCTAGTTTGTAAATTATGATTTTGACATTCCTGGCAAGAAATGACCGTTTTCACTAGCAATGCAATCTAAGTACTTGATTCCACTACATGAGTCTATTAAAAATCTCATTCTCTCATTTTCATGTGAGTCAAAAGATTTTAAGGAAATCTTAAAGCTAATATATTAGGTCGCAGCTCATTTCAGTGGTACCAGCGTTGCCGAAGGCGAAGAGATATATGTAAAAAATTTTCTAAGTGTGAAACTAATAACAACCAACAGAAAACCCAACACACTTCAATATTATATCAGAACATATAAGGACTTCGAACACAAACGAGAAACAATCAGGTTTCGATCTGGATTTAATCTTACTAATAGTCCGTTACTTCACGTTATTAATAATGTTATTGACAAGCTAAAATGGTACTACCATGATCAATTCATTCCAATTTATAGTTATATGATCATCAAAAAGTATAGCTGTTAAAGCACTTTGGGACTTCTTCTTTATATTATACATACGAATTAATTTGTTACATAGATAAAACAGTGTTACCGAAGTCCAAATACATTGACTACGCCAACAGAAACGAAAAATTTAGATCTAATTGAATATTATAAAGTTCACTCAACTATTGCTATGCACGTGAAATAGTTTTGAATATATCATTTTAAACAGATAAACTATTATTTAACTTCTTATAATCAAGGTAGATGAATATAAGGTATGCTCGCACGTTGAACGAATTGGCACTCGCGCGTCATAGCTTAGCAACAACTATTGTCTACTATTGTAAGTGTTATATTTTTTGTGTTTATGTAAGTGGCTTATATTCATCTACCTTGCTTATAAGTCTTATAACATAACACCACAAATTTATACAACAATACCTAAATTTGTCTTACTTTTATAAATCTGTAAAATTACATATACGGATAGCCCATTGGTGGAATTAAAACGCTGGTATTGAAACAAATCATGAACTGAAACGGAGCGTACATTTTATAGTTTTTGTTTGTGGAATCCCAATTCTTTCTAATATCTTAAAAGCAATATAGGTCAATGGTTTGAATCTCAGCCAATTTCTTTGTTATTAACTAGGTTATCATTATGCGCGATCTAGCTACCTAGAAAGGCATGAATCATCAGCATCGGTGGTTCAATGGTAGAATGCTCGCCTGCCACGCGGGCGATCCGGGTTCGATTCCCGGCCGATGCATTTTATTTTTCTTTTAACTTCTTTGTTATTAACTAGGTCATCATTATGCACGATCTAGGTACCTAGAAAGATATGAATCATCAGCATCGGTGGTTCAATACATTTATTCGCTATGTACAACTACTACGACATAATATAATAATAATTTATACATATCACAGATATTGACACGATGATGGTACTTCTCATTGTTCTTCTTCCTGCTTTCCGACGTGTTTCATTAAGATCCTGGCTGTTCCAGTCAATGCGCTGTAGGCAGCTTTTTCCAACAGGGACCTTAATTGCATTTCTGTTGCACCTATTTCGGCCAACAATAACCACAGCTTCTTTTGTGTGTCAGTTGACAGCACCTCGCCAAAAACCCCCATCGCCATGACCCCAAACTTTACTGGACAACGGTTCATCTGACGTAGCTCATCTACCAGGTTTGCATCCCGCCCCACAGTGCTTTAATTTAAATGGTCGACATGAGTTACGGAATTTTTTGCATACCTTGTGATCTTCACGACTTCCTGAGTTTCGTAGTTCTGGAGATGAGGTATCACCACTTCAAAGACGTAGATGGTTGTTTTGTCTTTTTTTTTCGACCCTCACCAATATATCCGGCTTTTTGTGATGGATGGGTTGTGGAGTCAGAACCGGAATGCCACACGTAATATATATTTTTTTGCCCTGAGTCGTATATTCGCAGTTCAAATTCGCTCTTCCAAATTTGAGTTGATTTTTAATAAGTACTGGCGCCTTCGTTGCTTCGATGATGGTTCTTATTAGCCAGTATGCCACGAAATCATGTCGCTCGGCGTAGTTGTGTTTACAGGCCGTTACTACATTCTTCGTG